GACTTCTTGCTAGAAATCCTGGCGAACTCATCATATAGCTAGTCACTAGTGAGCATTAGGATAATTTTCAATCGATGGATTTGTAGAATTCCCGAACAGTTGGATTCCAACTGCCGATGGGACCGAGCAGTCAACGGAATGGTGTCATAACCTGACTCTCCTCCTGTGTTATCTAACCTAAAGGGCTGGGTGAATCATAGGTGAGTACTACATACTAAAAAGTCCCGGAGTGGAATTAAAAAATGACATCTTTCTAGTACTCCCTGGATTTCAATAGTTCTTTTACCAACGTCGATCCATCATCTTACTACGTTTTCATAGTTCTCCTTTATCGGAAGGATAGTAAGATTTGTTAGGTACTGAATAATATTATTAATAAATTTATTCCGTACAAAATATCTACGCAGTGTACAAAATTCTTAGCGTAAAAGGGTTTCGCATGATATTTTCCCTTTGTCCAGGATCTTCAGGCAAAGTAGTAACAGACAGTATGTTGCATATAGGTATACTTTTATTTTAATTTTATTCCATTGGGTTCCCAGTGCAGCGTACGGGGCTTCAAACTAGAGCTTTGAAGTTTCGGTAGCAGTGGTATTTATTTTTATAGGGATGAGGCTGTTAGAGTCATGCCCAACCTTTCCTCTTTAACAGGCGTTGGTTTTCAGCGATATCGGGTTAATTTCAGGTGACATTAAGAACTAACACCTCAATTACAGAAGTATACTCATAAATCTTGGAGCACCACGGTGCTGTTTTGTCAAAAGTTTGAGATTCCTCATCAGTAACTTCCAATTTTGTTGGTTTCAGATGGTTAGAGGCAATCGAAAGAAAGCCTTTGACCTAGATTTCCCTGCTTGTTCTTATCCATGATTCCATCAGGGATTGAATTCAGGACTTTCAGGTTTCACAGCAAGCTTCGTGTCCATTTATTCACTTAGACCATAATCCAGTCAGGAAATACACTCACCGATAACACGGGGTGGGGGTCACGCGGAATATGTGAACATCGAGGTGTTAGAATTCGTGGGTCCCTGAATGGTCAGCTGGTTTGATTCAAGATTTGAAAGCCATGGGTTCGATTCTTCCCGGGATCATGGTTATAGAGTTCTAAGGATTCTTAAACTTTGACAAAACAGCATTGTAGTGCTCCAAGGTTAATGAATCCCTTTCTAAGTGAGGTGTCAGTTCTTGATGTAACTTGAAATTAATCACATATCACTGAAAACCAACACCTGGAAACATGAAATCTAACTCAGAGTGGTAAACTAATATACATTTGATATGATTACAAATAAAGAACAGCCTTCAAACTATTATCCAATATATACAGGTAGATATAATACTGTTTCACTTAATGTTGTATACCACATGAACACAATTTATATGGAATTATATGCGTATGATTAAAGCTGTGAATTTCCCTACCCAACGGAATAGTTTATTCACAATTTGAACAGATCTACAGAAGTAACAATTTGTTGGTAGGATTTTCATGTTTATTGTAAACAGTGATTCCCAGTGGATTTTGAATAAACTGTAGATTGTAATTCCATTATGAGTAAATTTTATTTTGATAGAGTCTCACAGTGTTATACAGTAATATTTACTGATGACGTTTCGAGCACAATTTATTGCTCATAATCATATCAAGGTAATCACACGACTTCCTAAATTCATTTATATAGTTCCATTATTTTTCACTTGATTTCCACTTGATTTGATTGGTAGTGTTATTTTCCATATTTCGGGTATTAGTGATGATTCATTCTTATTGCACGTGTTGGGTGTAGATTCGATGAACAAAGATTCAGTAATCAACCTCTCTCTCCACCTACCTAGATTACTTTTTAGAATTTTAACCCTCTCCCACCCTATTGTGTGGTTGTGTGTTAATGCATGCATTGCAATTGCCGAGCTTTTTTCTAAATTACTTATCTTAGAATGGTTGACCTTGCAAATGCAAGGTTCTGCCTTTGTTCCCTGTTACATATCACTGAAGGGTTTCAAACTAGGCGGAAATGACTATGTGATACTCTTTGGTTTCCAGTGCTTCTCTGACAGACGTCAATTCGTCATCAAAGCAGAAATAGGCAGATTGAGACTGTGGAGGCAGCAATGGCTCAAAAAGTTTCTTCTGCATACAAAACTCCAGCTAATTTGAGTTCTTTCGTACTACCTTCGTGGACTGATTATACACATATCTTCGGTCAACAACAAAATTCGGATTTTCAATACAAATGTCGAGTCAGTTCTTCTACACGGATCAGAAACTTCACGGGTCACAAAGACTTTTTCCAACAGCCTGTTGCAGACCTTTATCAAAAACTGTCTTCGCTAGCATCATACTCAAGATCAGATGTTCGGAAAGAATCACAAACAAGGAACTATGGGAACAAACAAAACAAGAACCAATCGCTCAACAAGTGTGCAGGAGAAAGTGGAGATGGATTGGACACTCGCTGAGGAGGCCACTGGGTGACATCGCGCGTCAAGCCAATGCTCGAGTGGAACCCGAAAGGGAAGCGGCGAGTGGGGTGTCCAAGGGTGATATGGAGGAGATTGTGTGAAGAAGAGCTGTAACAATGTGGACTAACATGGATGCAAGTGAAAAATACAGCAGAAGACAGTAACAAGTGGAGACATGTAGTTGAAGCCGTATGTTCCACTAGGAACCCAAGGGAACAATAATAATAATATCTTCGGTCGGAACACTCGATCTTACACTGTTGACAATATCGATTGTGGTTTACGATGGTTTTGGCGTTTTAAAACGGAGGGTACTGAGCTGTCTTAGAGCCTCACTAGGAAGACAATCATTTAGGAGACGACTATCATATTTGATTTCACTGCTAGCTACCGTCATCTTTTTAGACCTCTGAAGCTTCAGGTATGAGGGGGAAACGAAACGGAAGTTTGACAACTGATCGACGCCAGTTATATAACCATTAGAAATCAAGGAATACTAGGAATTAAGTACTTCGTCCTTGTTCGGGACTCATCAGGTGTGAAACCCAGCACCTTCAGGTTACGAAGAGACCTCGCTGAGTATTCAACCACTGTAACAGATTAAATCCGGTGTCTCATCAGTTCTATCTCCCACCAGTTCATGTTTTTTGGCATCACTTTTAGTCAATATCACCGGTGAGTATTTGCGCTTACATTATTATTATTGTTTCTTTCAATTCCTAGAGGAACAAAGGGCTTCAGCCGTGCGTCTCCATTGCGTTCGGTTCTCTGCTAGATTCTTCACCTGGCTCCAAGTCTGCCTACACGTTTTCATTTCTTTCTTCACATGACCTCCTCCAAGTCACCCTTGCACTGACGACCAACTCGCCACTTCATTTTCGGGTTCCACTCGAGCAATGGCTTGTGTAGTGATGTCACTTGATGGTTTCCTCAGGGTATGGCCAGCCAATCTATCTCCATTTCTTCCTACCTATTTGTTTCACAATCGGTTCCTGGTTGGTTCGCTCATTACCAGAGATCTCTGTTGCTGATCTTTTCTGGCCGGCCATCTGATCTTGAGTAGGATTGAGCGGAGACATCTGTTAATGAAGGTCTGTAGTTTGTTTGAGATGCTCTTTATGACGCGCAGTGCAAGTCTCTGATCCGTATAGTGAGTAGCACTGACTTCACATTGGAGTTGAAAATCCGGATCTTATTTTCATTTTCATGCTGAGTAGGGCTGTTGATCTCCACACAGACTTGAAAGTAGTGAAAGCTTGCCTTGCTTTCGCGATTCTTGCTTTGATATCCTCGTCAGTTCCGTTCGCCTGTAGTTGAAACGATGCTTCCCAGGTAGGTAAAAGAGGTTGTTTCTTTCAGGTTCCTCCCATATTTGCTGATCGTTGTCTGTTGTTGTTGTTCTTGCCCAGGAATCTTCGTCACCTCTGTTTTCTCTATGTCCACCTGAAGTCCTATCTTCTCCGGATGCTTCTCCTGCCAACTTGTTGCTTTTCACTTGCACATCTTCCAGTTTGTGGGAAATCAGACATATATCATCGGCGAAGTCCAGATCCACCAAGTTTTTTGTGCGAGTCAATTTTATGCCTGTTTCCTCATTGTCCGCTGTTTGTCGCATTATCCAATCTACTGCAATAAGGAAAATCATTGGCGATAGTAAGCAGTGTTGCCTTACTCCAGTCTTAATTTCTGAGGATTCCGTAGGTTTCCCGTTGTGGATTACGTGGTATGCAGCATTGTCGTACAGCTGTTGGATGAGATGCATAATTGTCGGTGGCACCCCGTAGTAGCGAAGTAGTTGCCAAAGCACCTCTCGACCGACGCTTAAATTCGACTTGGTGAATCCCAGTGGTTGCAAATTCTCAATAGTGCTCCTGTCTAGGCCGTCGTGTAGTTAGTCATTAGTGAGTATCAGAATAATTTTCAAGTTTGTAGTTTCATTCAGTAATACTAGTTGGTTGTTGCGTTAAAATCGTCAGTGAATTTCATCTCACCTGCTGAATGGTCAATATTCTTGCCTCGTAACCTGAAGGTGTTGGGTTTGTTCTCCAGCGGAAAGGTCATGGGGTGTGTGCCGATGAAGAGTCTCAAACAGAGACGAAGCAACTGGCTGTCCAGTAGCCTCCGTGGGTTTTAAGTGGTTCTTTATATCATATAAGTCTATGATTAAACTTGAAGCTGATCAAATACCTACAAAAAATAACATCAGGAATAAGAAATTAAACAGAACTGTGATTGTAAAGGTATCCTTCTATTCGAATTGTTCCTATAGGGATTTTATGATGAATCAATGAAATAGAAGGTCCTGGGTTCGAACCTCAGTGGGTGCGTACTGTGAAGAGTCTCAAACTAGGACGAGACAGCTGTTCAGTACTCACAGTCGGTTTTCCAGTGGTTCTCGAACTGATGTCAGCTCATGATGGAATCCTACATGCAATCAAATAGTCCTATCTTTAAATATTAACTCTCATGTTTTATTTCCCTCTTTCTACCTCTCTCTCTCCCTCCCCAATAAATCAATCGAAAATCACTGCCAGAGTACGTTATCGTAAAGAAGATGGAGTATACGTGTTAAGTTTAACAAGTCATAATGAACCGAAACACTACAGGATAGAAGAACATTTAGGCAGATGGTCTATAGAAGGTGGACAATACTTTGAAACACTTATGGAAGTAAGTTGAAAAAGTGATATTTTAATATTTTATTTTGTATTGTTACTATATGATCATCAATTATTAATTATTCCTTTGACTTCCGAGTGGAACGCAGAGCTTCAACAGCACTCTGTCTCCAATTTGTTCTATTTTCTGATGTCGTCCTCAGCTGGCTGACACCGCGATTGCCTATAATCTCTAACCTCCTCCTTTCCAACAGGCAATCTCCTCCGTGCCACTCTCTCACTGACGATCCAGCCTTCGCTTCCCATTAGGATCCCGTTCGAGTAATGGCTTGGATAGCATGTGATGTCATTCGGCGGCCTCCTCAACCTATGACCGATCCATCGATCTCCATTTCCTTTTACATCTTGGTTGAGCAGTCGGCTCTCGGTCGGTTGGCTCCCAGCCAGCCAGAGTTTCTTGTTGCTAATTCTTTCTGTCAAGCTGGCTGTATACAGCTATTGATGAAAGTCTGTTACTAGCTGTCGGAAATCCTTTTCATGACATGCAGTGCACGTTTCTGACCCGTATTGAAGCAGTAACTGACTGGCTGACTGACTTCACATTTGTGTTGAACAGAATCCGAATCTTGTTGAGATGGAGTGCAGTTCAGAAGATTTCCAAACCGGTTTCAGGTTGATGAAGGTTTATATTTTGCCTTTCCGATCCTGGATGGCTGGCTGGATTTAATATCTTCACCCCGTTCTAACTGTTTGTCGTTGAAACCGTGCTTCCTGGGCGGATAAGTGAAGGCAGTAAGTCACCTCTGTCGGCGACAAGTCCCCGATCCGTACGTATAGTAAGTAGCACTGACTTCACATTGGAGTTGAATATATGCATATTATTTTCATTTTCATGCTGAGTGCTGAGTGTTGATCTCCACGTGCAGACTTGAGAGATATGGAAGCTTGCCTTGCTTTCCCGATCCTTGCTGCTTTGATATCGTCATCAGTTCCGTCTGCCTATAGTTGAAACGATGCTTCCCAGGTAGGTAGGTAGGTAGGTAAAGGAGGCTACCTCTTTTAGATTACTTCCATTTATGCTGGCTGATTGTTGTCTGTTGTTGTTGTTGTTGGTGTTTCTGTTGCTGCTGGCCAGGAATCTTCATCAGCTACCTCTCTTTTCTTTATGTTCACCTGAAGTGAAGTCCTATCTTTGGTGCTTCTTCTGTCAACTTTTCAACTTGTTGCTTTTCACTTGCATATTTCACCGAAAATACCCATTGAGTCATGAAGAAAATAAAAGACAGATTCAGCGAAGAAAATTTTCTTTATCGACAAAATCATCTTCAGAGGCTGTACAGTCGTATTTATACTTACAAAAATATATAGTGGTCTATTATTGAGTAACAGGGAGTGACATAATTGATATAATTACTCAGAAGTGAAAATTAAAAGATCACTGAGGAAAGCCTTCTTTATGGCTGAGCTACGTATCACTTTCTACAGCCAACAAATGATCAACGGATATGTGAAGGATAAACTGCCGCTTTGGGCCACCTCAATGTGTGTTTATAAATTCACTTGCTCGTGTGGAGCTAGTTATATTAGCCGCACAAAGCGCACGCTTTCCAAACGCATCTCTGAACATTATCCTGCATGGTTAGCAAAGGGACAATGTAAGACAATTACTAGCTCAATTATCGAGCATTTGGTGAACTCAGGCCAAGTAGCTCCACCAGAGTCGTCTTTCAAGATCATCTACAAAGTGAAGCCAAATGGTACAAAGGGCGTCAGGTTTCGGCTTTTGTGTATGGCGGAGGCTCTGACAATTCATCAATACAACCCTGAACTCTGTATACAGAAAAAGTTTGTCCAGTCTCTTATTCTACCTTGGTCTTAACCTCTTCACTAATCGTTCCTTGTAAATAAAATATATTTTGATTTTTTCTTTTCATTCTAATTTTACTTTTAGTTTGTTTTTGCCTTAATAATTAATTCACTATTATCACTCTCATATGGTCCTTTTGTATATTTTCACACCCTCTTCACAATTGTTAAATTGACACTCAGATAACTTTATTCTCACTCGATAGCAATTTTAACCTTATCAAATTTCCATCTTTGTGCCGTTGAGTACCACGTAATTTACAACTTTTAATTTTCACTTCTAAAGCCACTTCTGAGTAATTATATCAATTATGTCATCCTCTTCCACCTATTACTCAATAATAGACCACTATATATTTTTGTAAGCATAAATACGACTGTACAGCCTCTGAATATGATTTCGTCGATTAAGAAAATTTTCTTCGCTGAATCTGTCTTTTATTTGCATATTTTCCAGCTTTTATTACTTTTTACCAATCCACAATTTATTACTCGCGAAATAGAGGATCAATATATAATAATAATAATAATAGCAGGGAAATATAATGAATACCAATCAAATATATGTTTAGAAAAGGCAACAAGTGGAACATAATATAAATGTATATATATATGTGCATAGAACAAAACAATAATGTATTGATTATTAGAAATGTAGATAATTAATCATATATACCAATTCATTTTCGGTTTCCCATTATTATTATAGATGGTGATAAGGCGGTTTTTTATTTCCCATTCACTTATAATAAGACTATAGAGAATATATATACATATAAATAATTCTTTTCCCCTTCTACTTCTTCTTGTATGAAAACTGTATTTCATCCTACTTATGATAATAATCTAAGCATAAATTATATGTTTATACACTGTAAACATTGTTTACTGGAGTGCTTTATTTATCGAATTGTCAGATTCTTCAAATAATAACTATTATTATTATTCTGTATACATATATATTTATGATCAGATATCCGTTTGCAGTGAGCCGGTTGGTTTTCCTAGTTGATCATGAGCCGATAACAGCTTTAGAGAAGTATTAAAAGCTCTCGGGGAAGGAGGTTCTAGTTAGCTAACTGCTTTGTCTTAGTTCAGCACCCATTAGGCGGTTCGAACCCGGTAGCTTCTGGTTAGAAGGTAAGGTGGTGATCCATTGGCCACGTCATGAATTTCCATTCCTGTCAGTCAGTGACACTTGTTATTGCAGCTCAAGAGGTATAACTCAAGACTCATTCGAAAATCGATGGGCATGAAAAAAATCATCTCTTCGTTATTTCAGGATGCCAATGATTTCACCAAGGAGAAACTCTAACTTATGTGATGCGATACTGTTTTGAAAGCGAAGTTCAACTTTTTGGATTCATAATATAACGCCATTGTCAAACAGTGTCTACGGTGTGTATCTATCTTTGTGTTTGAATGGGTGAACTTTGCCGGTTTGGACGTTTTACTAGAGCTGTAGGAAATTGATCCTGTAAGTAATACAAGGACAGTCTGCAGGTGAAATAGATTTTGGTATATAACATTCAGATAACCAGGTCACAGATGAAACCAGTGAAACAGAGGGAAGCGAACCCAACTACCAAAGGGAAGAAACAATGGGCTGATAATCTCAAAAGGCTCTTGAACCAAGCAACACTTCAAATGCGTCCAGAGATACCGCCAACAGTCACAAAAGTGAATTTAATATGTTTACTCTCTTGTTATTCTGAATACAAAACTCCATCCAGAACAAGCTGAATTAGAAAACAAAATCATTTGAAGATCATATCGCATTTTATGCATAATAGAATGGCAGTCAAACCTCCACCTCTACTTCATTGACTTTGAAAACGCTCTTGACAACATTGACCACGAAACGATTTAGAAACCAGTTCAACACTCTTGAGTAACCCAAACATTTACACACCTCATTCAACAGTTATGCATATGATAATGCCACATGTCAGATGATCCACAACGGAAAACTCAGCGAGGCGTTCGAAGTGAATACAGGAGTAAAACAAAGCTGTCTATTATTACCCACGATGATATTCCTTATTGTGTTGGAGTTGATCATCCGGAAGACAAGACTCTAGAAGATCTGGATTTCACGCGTGGATGACTTGTGTCCAATGCCACACAAACTCGAAGACTTACTGGCGAAAACCAACAAACTGGCATAAGTTCCATGCAGAGTAGACAGGACTCCAGGTGAATATAGAGAAGATGGATGTGAGGAAGATAACCAACCAATCACCAACAGCAACGAAAACAAGAGTCAGTCGCCATCGACGGGATCAATTCGAACGAGGTGACTTCTACTACTTACCTACTCAGAATTGTTTTAACTACAGACAGTCGGAACGGATAAAGATATTAGAGCCAACTGGGATAGGAGATGCATGTCAGACCTACATTAATCTGCCATCAGTTTGGGGGATCCACTGCTATTTAATATAAAGAAAAAGGGATTTGGATTTTCAAAACCCTTTCGGTAGAATTCACTTTGCACCAAAGAAAGGACTAGATACATTACTCTAATTACTAACTAGTGTCCAATCAGGAGGTCAATCGCGAACCGGAATAGTACAGTAATGGTAACGTCTCTGACTGCGGGCATCACTGGGTGACGCGGGTTCAAATCTCCTAGGGAGAAATGAGTTCCTTCAAGATGGTCACGGACACGCCTTGCTGCCAACTAACTAGCAGGAAATCTAGCTCAAGCAAGGCTTCCTGTGGCCGACTACCTCCAACCATCTAATACCAAGTTAAAGACTTCCTTAATTGATGCCAGATTTCGGTTGAAATTGATTATCCACTATCAGTTTTATTTGGGCTGTGTGACTCCCCACAAGCTTTACTCACTTGTTCTTTGTCTAACTAGTCACCTCTACATTGGATTCCTATTAGTAGAAGGATATCAGCTGGAAATTCATCAGCATCTGTAGGAAAACAATATCATCTGAACAATTCTTAAGATATCAGTTAGTGAACCACTGAAAAACCTGAGAGTACTGGAAAGCTGGCTGTTCTGTCCTAGTTTGGAACTCTTCATCAGGACGCACCCACAGGGGCTCGAAGCCAGGACCTTCTGGTTACAAGGTGAGCTCGCTTGTAGACCATCACGCCACTGGGACCCGATCCAACCAATCAAACAAAATCCCTGCAAAAACCAATACTTGAAAAATATTGATCTGATGCTCACTAGTGACCGGCACTATTCAGGCAGTGACCTGGGGTTCTAGTGAGAAGCCGTGACCAGTGGGGCGCAGCAGGTTGAAGGTGAGGCAGTAACTCATCGAACAGGACACTGCGAAGTGATCACAATATGTCGTGAATTGGAAGAAGTTATAATTCATGGGTTGGCCATTGGATCGGCTCCCAGTGGCCTAATGGTCTACTCGCTAACTGGCCTAGTAACCGGAAGGTCCTGAGTTCGAACCTGGGCTTGCCGAAGGTGCGTACTGATGTAGAGCCTCGAACTAGGACGAAACATCTGACTTTCCAGTACTCCCTGTTGGTATTTTCAACGGTTCTCTAACTGATGTCAACTCCAACCAATACTTGAAGAAAATTCTTAAGATAATTATATAAGGTCTAATATAATTCAGATAATAATTCCAGTCAAATGCATTAAATGAATGTCTCTATTTTTTTTGTCTTTGCTTTTCCCTCTGTCTCTCTCTCTCTAGTTAATTGATCATTATCATTTTCGTCAAGATGGTCTATTATGCAAATTACAGAAACCAGTTTCTGCGCCTAGTTATACACGTTCACGTTCAGGTAAGAAATAATTTATTCTGTTTGTCTGTCTGTTCAAACCTCTAACATTTTGCATAAATTAATGTTAGTTAAATTCCTAATTAAGTATTTCAAGGTGTATACTATTTTTTGGAGGGGGTGAGTGGGTATGATATAGGTTGTTTGAAAAGCTTCTAATTCAATTTCACGGAATCTGAAAAGGCTATAAGCATAAAACTTGGGCACTATGGTAGAGTATAACTCCATTATGGATAAGATTTTATTTTGATAAATCACACAGTGTTGTCATACAGTAATATTAACTGATGACCGCGTTTCGACCACAAACTATTGCTCATAATCATATCAAGTTACGCACACAACTTCTCTTCACCTACCTATATTACTTTTTAGAATTTTAACCCTCTCCCACCCTATTGTTTGGTTGTGTGCTAATGCATGCTGTGCAATCGCTCAGCTTTTTCCTAAATTACTTATCTTCTTGGAGTCAACCATTCTTCCCTTAGCTAAATTCTTATGTTCTGATAATCTGACTATCCCTGACCTACTAGTTTGACCTATGTAGTTGACCTAACTCACTGTCATTACAAGGTATTTTGTAAATTATATTATTTTGTTTAGTTGGGTCCACCGGGTCTTTCAACCTACAAAGCTTGTCTCTGAGTGAGTTTGTAGGTTCAGAATGCCACCCTAATTCCTGCTTTATTAAGAATCTAACTACGTAGGGTCTCAGATGTCCCCTCTTTATATGGTATAACTGTAGATGACTTATATTCTCTCTTATTTATGTTATTATTACCAGTTTCACAATTATTTTTATTTTTCTTTTGGCGTTTTTCAATCTTCCCAATGAATTTTAGAGGATAGTTATTTAGAACCAACGCCTCTTCTATCTGTTTTATTTCGTCGTTTAGGTCTTTTTTGTGGTACTCAGTGCTATTGCTCAGTTTTTTAGACACTTCACTAAGCCTGCCTTAACAGTTAACGGATGAGACGAATTAAAGTCTAAATATCTATTAGAATGCGTTGGTTTTCTATAAACACTAGTGTGTAGTTTGCCTTCTTCTATTCGTTTTATTTTACAATCTAACATCATGGCTAATTCTCCTTGCTCATTTTCGGTTTCAAATGTGAATTTTATTCCCTCCACTAGTGAGTTTATGTGTGTCAAGAAGCTAGAGATATGTTCTGTTTTTAACACTGTGAAAGTGACATCCACATATCTCCACCATATTTTTGGAGTAGGATTAAATGTATTGAGAGCACTATTTGCTGAAAAAGCTTTCGCCAGACAGCATTGATTGAGAAGTAATTTGGAAACTGCTTCACTACTGCGCAGTGCAGCGCACCAAATCTTTATCAACCTCATTTAACAGCTGGCTATGTGACAATGTCACACACAATATCAGGTGATCTACAACGGAAGCTTGGCTTTGAAGTGAATGCGGGAGTAAGAGAAGGCTGTCTGCTGACTATCACTCACGATGATATTCCTAATTGTGATGCTCTGGATTATGTAGGAGACTGTGCGCGCCAGCGAAAAGATAGGAATGCATTGGGTTGATAATTAGAGTCTAGAAGATCTGAATTTCGCGCGTGGATGATTCATGTATAATTTCACACAAAATCGTAGATTTTCAGGCAAAAACCATAAACTGGCTTAAGAGACGAGGCAGGCAGCAAAGACAGGACTCCAGGTGAACATATAGAAGAAGGAGGTGATGAAAATGACTAATCAGTAGCAACACCAATCAGCACTACTCACCATCAGCAGGAGAAACTTGAACGAAGTCTTTCCTTTACTTGTCGAAGAAGCATTGTTTCAACAACAAGAGGATGAAGGTATCGAAACCAGAATAGGAAAGGCAAGGTACAACACCTTTATCACTCTAAAATCAGCTTTTAAGTCTTCTGGACATAAGCAGCAGAATTAGGATTTTCAACAGAATTGTTAAGTCACTTTTCCATATAAATCAGGCACTTTGGCTCACAATTCCAACAGCATTCTGCAAACTTTTATAAACACCGGAGAGCAATTTCGCTCATTTGTCGTTGTTCGCGTCAGTGTTACGACTTAGTTGACAGGTAGAAGCGAACAGCTGTTTCATCCTATTTCGTCAAGGTGTAGTGGTATGCTGATCGAAGGCATTGACTGTGGGCAGTTGACAAAGTCAGAATTCATGGACCAGCTGTCTGTATGATCAAAGAGCTAAGTTTCGTAACCTGATGGTCTCTGGTTACATCAACAATGATGACGTCGTGGCCGCACACCACTAAGGACTATCAAACTAGGACGAAACAGCTATCTAATCGTCCATTAATTAAATTAGACGACATCTTGGTGAATCCCATTATCTAAACTAGCATGGAACTGCACAACAGCACAACAGCCAAGTTTCATATATATATATATATATATTAAAGAAACTATGATATTTCATCGTACACTGATATCAGTTAGAGGACCATTGGAAAACCAACTTGGAATACTTGACAGCTGCTTTGTCCTGGTTTGGGACTCTTCACTCACCGTCATGGCTCGAACTCCGCACCTTACGGTGCGACCTCGCAGACCATCCAGCCAATGGCATCCGACCCAATAGCCAGTCCATGAGTCCCAGCTTCAGCCAATTACCAATATGGCACGACCACTGACTAATGTCATCGGTGACAAGTATTTGTTGTCACACTTGACCTGCTCTACCTCACTGACTTGTTACGAATTCCCACTAGAACTCTAGGTTACTTACTACTTACCTGAATAGGGCCAGTGACTAGTGAACATAAGACCAATATTCAAGTGTTGGTTTGCAAGGATTTGATTGGTTTCAGGATTTCATCATGAAGGGTTTGATTCTTGGCCTAAACACTCTTAAACCTGTTTACTTCACGACGAGTAGTAAGCCTAATAAAGAGGGAAGGATGGGCTAGGTGGGGCTAGTAACACTACCCTGTAAAAATAGGCTCATCTCAAGTAATGGCAACTATTGGTGTCTGTCATCGATACTCACTGTCCCTATCACTCTGGAATTTCAGCACAGATGTCCCAATGGAACTGATCCTAAATGACTTCGGAGACTCGAGAATTGAACTGTTATCAAGGCATAGGCTGGTACACTTAGGACGTGTGAATAGTATAGTCTTCGTAGGGGAAGACCCCGAAAATAAGCACAGTATGTCGTACACATTGGATAGTAACCTTCGAATGTTTGACATGAGATTTGCACCTAACAGATGTTAGATGATGCTACAAAGTTTACTGGACTACAGCAACTCCTACCTTAAAAATAGGGAGTGAAATGCTAAGTTGAGCTTGATAACTATGTCACTTATTTGAAAAGTTGCATCAGCTCCAAACAGACTGACTGATAACGAAATCTCAGCATAGGCACGGAGGACTCATGCGATTTTTCTCAACGTGATATCCAACCATCAATCAAAAGATGTATGTACTTTTCAGCAGTTCGCTCTTTCCTTTTTCACGGGTGCCATACGTGGACATTAATAGTGAAAGATATGAAGAAACTAGCTGCCTTTGATCACAAGGATCTGAATTTTATCACTCATGTTAGCTGGTATAATAAAGTGAGTAATATTGAGGTTAGGCCTTAACTGTTGGGTAAGTAATGAAAATCAATAAGGTTGTGAAGGTAAGTTGATTGAGGTTGCTAGGATATGTACTGGGCATGCCTAACAATCGCCTCCCTCGACGGAAAATATCAATTGATAAAGAATCAAGCTGAAAAAGAGTTAGCTTGATGATCAAACCATAATATGGCTTCATCAGTCAATGAAATCCACAACATTTAGTTCCAGCCATGTAAGGTAGTGAAGACTGGCTGGTTGAGGTCCTTGAGATCCTAAGAACCAATGTAGGCTGGATACAATTGATGATATGGCTCAAAATCCTCGTTCTGGATGACGTATATACAGTATTTCCTTTTCAGGGTTATCTGAGGGTCAAAAAAAATCTATAAACCTCCTAAAGGGTTGGTCGTTTTGAACAAAACAATTCCGTGAATCTCCATATATGTTATATATGCACAGGATCTGCTATAGACCATTGTGATCACTTATCTATTGGTATTCGTATTCAGATCTGTTGACTGAGGATAGAAGGCTTGAAGCCTATGTTAATCTCTTTCGAGCGAATATTTTTTTGCACTTCCAAATCCTTCTTGAATGAGTCAACTGAAGGTGCTGACACAACGTCTTCTAGGAGTCTGTTCCAGGAGTTGGTAACTGAGTGTGAAAACCTGTACTCTACAGCGATATAGTGTTTCCTTGACTTTTGAACTCCCCCACTATATCTTCTAAGATGTTCCAACCTTGTGGGAAGGAAAAGAAAGAATAGATCAGGTCCACTGTCATTATTTAAAGTTTGAAGCATTGTAATTCGATCTCCTCCTCCTCCACGGTATAACAGAGAGAAGAGATTTAAAGTGTTTAGTCTCTCTTCATGTGACAGATTAATCATGCCGAGAATCATATGTGTTGCCTTCCTCTGAACTCTTTCTCGAATATGTGAGTCCTCCTTAAGACAAAGATTGGCTGCCTGGATACAGCTTTCCAGTCTCGACCTTACCAGAAATGTATATAAGGAGGTGAATATATCCCTGGTAGTTCTAGTAAAGGCTCAGCGAATTGCCTATAATGATTTTAAAAGAACATGCCACCACCGCGTGACAGTGAGCTGTAGTTTTTAAGTCGTGACTTACTATGGCACCTGAATCCAAATGAGTCTCCACTTATGGGAGTGTTATTCCGTCTGGTTCGTAGGGGTTGATGCTTACGTGTCTAATGCACATGGTTGGGCATTTCGCTACGTTGATAGGAAGCATCCATTGGTTCGACCACCTTAACAATTTGTTGAGATTTCTTAGCAACGTGAGTTTATCATTATCACCCTTCAGCTCCCTTCGAATTTCTCAGTCATCTGCATAAAGGATCAAAGGGGATTCGGTGAGTAGAGGTGACTCACTGACAAACAAAATAAATAAAAGAGTACCCGAGTACAGTGGCACTCCACTATGTACTTTTGTCCAGGAGGAGGAGTTTTAAGTTGATCCTGGTTCTCTGTCTCCTATCTGTGATTATTATTATTGTTTCCTTGGGTTCCTAGTGGAACATAGGGCTTCAACTGCACATCTCCACTTGCTTCTGTCTTCTGCTGTTTTTTTCACCTGCATCCATGTTAGTCCATACTGTTTCAACTCCTCTTCACACGATCTCCTCCATGTCACCCTTGCACTGACGTCCCACTCGCCACTTCCCTTTCGGGTTCCACTCGACCATTGGCCAGACGCGCGATGTCACCCCGCAGCGGCCTCCTCAGCGAGTGTCCAATCCATCCCCGCTTTCTCCTGCATATTTGTTGAGCGATTGGTTCTTGTTTTGTTTGTTTGTTCCCATAGTTTCTTGTTGGTTCTTGTTCTTTCCGGCCATCTGATCTTCAGTATAGAACGAAGACAGTTGTTGATAAAGGTCTGAAACAGGCTGTTGGAAATATTCTCTGTGACCCACCAAGTTTCTGATCCGTATAGAAGAACTGACTGACTTGACGTTTGTATTGAAATCCGAATTTTGTTGTTGAGTGTTGCTGAGTGACGAAGATTTTCAGATTGGTTTCTTGTTGATGAATGTGTTTCTCGCCTTGATTCCCGATTCTCGATTTGACATCTTCGTCCGTTCCTCCTGTAGTTGAGACAATGCTCCCTGTGAGGAAATCTCTAATCCAGTATATGTATACACTTTATCTCCTTTTATCCTATTTCATTGTATTTCACTAATTTTACGGATAAATTAAACGCCTTGAGGTGTGGTTTCAATATCAGCCTGGTTTCTTCTCTACCAGATTTTTTCCTAATATCCATAACTACACATATACATACCCTTGGGGATAAAATATGTATATGTAAGCATATATATACGTGGGCGTTAACAGGGTCAGAAGGTCATTTACTAAAGTGCAGCACGAAAGTAGAATTTATACTATGCTTATGTATATATAAAGCCAAACTATTGTTTTGAAAACACCTGTATTCTTTTGCAATATATGTGGTTTATTGATCCTCGTTTTTAATATTTTGGTTTGATTGTGGTGTGGCTAACAGGGGAATTCAATAATATAATAGTAATAATAATAATAATAACAATCGTAGATTTTTATATTCTCGCCTTCTTCGAGAGAAGACACATCGGCTGGCTGCCTGACTGACTGGTCCCCCGGAGGCGGCGTTTCACAAGCCCGTTGTGTCATTTCGCCTCTCCAATTCCAGAGAAGAATATAAGTATAAATTAGAGCACTTTGGTGGAGTAGAACTTCATTATGAGTAAGATTTTTATTTTGATAAATCACACAGTGTGTTATACAGTTATATTAACTGATGACCACGTTTCGAGCACAAATTATTGCTACTCATAATCATATCAAGACACTACTCACACAACGTTTTTGCTTCATTTGTATGCATGTGTGGAATCGACTAGATACATTCAGAAATAATAATAATAACATCAAATACAATCAGATGGGAAACAAGATGCTTTTTACAATAAAATTAAGTAACTTGTTAGAATGTTAGAATGTACGTGGATTAAGATAGAGTTTTAAGGTTATTTATTATCCTCCTCTGATTTAACTGGTAATAATATCTTCCATATCTCTGGTATGTGCATTGAGTCATTTCTGTTGCATGTGTTGGGTTGGGTGTAGATTCGATGAACAAGGATTCAGTAATCAACCTCTCTGTTTCCTCCTACATAGATTACTTCTTAGAATTTTAACCCTCTCCTACCTTATTGTGTGGTTGTGTATTAATGCATGCATTGCAATTGCTGAGCTTTTTTCTAAGTTATTTATCTTCTCGGGGTCAACCATTCTTACCTTGGCTAAATTCTTATGTTCTGATAATCTGATTACCCCCGACCTACTAGTTTGACCCATGTAGTTCACATATCTCAGAGTCATTGTTGAGAATTTTGTAAATTATATTATTTTGTTTAATTCAAATAAGTTCATGTCATACTAATAACCTGCTCTGAAGGAATATGTTGTCTAGAAGGTGGACAAGGTGGAATTGGGTCCACAGGGTCTTTTAGCCTACAAAGCTTGTCTCTGAGTGAGTTTGTAGGTTTGAATGTCACCCTAATTCCTGCTTTATTAGGCATCCCACTACGTAGGGTCTCAGATGTCCCCTCTTTATATGGTATAACAGTAGATTACTTATATTCTCTCTTATTTATGTTATTATTACTAGTTTCACAATTATTTTTGTTTTGCTTTTCGCCTTTTTCGATCTTCCTAATGAATACTATAGGATAGTTAGTTATTTAACACCAACCAGCTATTCTTCTATCTGTTTTATTTCATCATTTAGGTATTTTCTTGTACTACTTATTGCTACTGCGCAGTTTGTTAGACAATTAACTAAGCCAATCTTTATAGATAACGACGGATGAGATGAATTAAAGTCAAAATATCTATTAGAATGTGTTGGCTTTGCTTTTTATAAATGCTAGTGTGCAGTCTATCTTCTATTTGTTTTATTTTACAATAATCTAACATGATAGCTAATTCTCCTTGTTCATTTTTCTATTCAAATGTGAATTTTATTCCTTCTACTTGTGAGTTTATATGTGTTAAGAAGCTAGAGATATGTTCTGTTTTTAACACTGTGAGTTAAAGTGTCATCCATATATCTCCACCATATTTTTGGAGTAGGATCAAATGTATTTAGAGCAGAAGAAAGAATAAGAGAGAATAAAAAGTTTTTTAAAATGTTTTGTATTTTTAATATATTTATTGTGAGTTGGAGTTTCTGTAGCAGTCTGACTGATTTTGTGGTGTAGGGTCACTAGTCCAGCGCCCAACTCTACCTCTTTCTCCAGGCTTCGCACTAAACTAGCAAGCTGGTAGACCAGGCTTGGTTCAGGCTGTCGAATATCATTACACGCCAGGCCCCCGAGTGGAGTCCCAAAGAGAAACAACGACTGGGTCGTCGGTTCAAGGGTGACATGGAGAAGATCGTGTGAGTTGCAGGAGATAAGAGACTAAGGGAAAAACGTGGGCCCATGTAAACACGCCAGCAGAGAATGGAACAAGGTAGAGATGTATTGTTGAAGTTGTGTGTTCCAGTTGGAACCCAAGAGGACAATAATAAATAATCATGTAAATACGATTGTAAAGCTAAATAAAATGAGTTTGATGAAAAGAGAGCCTCTTTGTTGAATACAACTCGTTTTGTTCTTTTCATTAGCTGATTCTCTCACTGATATTTCGGTGCTTTTTTTCTGACGAAATCTATATTGGAATTGCAACAAAATCTAAAATCTTGAAATGAAATAATCCTTTTATTTTCATTGAATCTTTCTGTGTGTTTTTTTTCTCAATTTAGGTTCGGGTTTGGCAATAAAACATTCAACTGATCACATTAAGGTAAGTTATGGTTGTGTGTGTATTATTATTATTGTTTCCTTCAATTCCTTGAGGAACATAGGGCTTCAGCCGTGCGTCTTCATTGCGTTCGGTTCTCTGCTAGAGTCTTCACCTGGCTCCAAGTCTGCCTACACGTTTTCATCTCCTCTTCACATGACCTCCTCCAAGTCACCGTTGCACTGACGACCAACTCGCCGCTTGCCTTTCGGGTTCCACTCGAGCAATGGCTTGTCTAGTGATGTCACTTGATGTATTGTTTCCTCAGAGTATGGCCAGCCAATCCATCTCCATTTCTTCCTGCCTATTTGTTTCACAAACGCTCCCTGGTTGGTTCGCTCCCAGAGATCTCTGTTGCTGATGTTTTCTGGCCATCTGATCTTGAGTATTGAGCGAAGACAACTGTTAATGAAGGTCTGTAGTTTGTTTGAGATGCTCTTTATGACGCGCTGACCAAGTCTCTGATCCGTATAGTAGCACTGACTTCACACAGGAGTTGAAAATCTGGATCTTATTTTCATTTTCATACTGAGTGCTGTTGACCTCCAAACAGACTTGAAAGTGATGATAGCTTCTCTTACTTTCCCGATCCTTGCTCATCAGTTCCGCCCGCCTGTAGTTGAAACGATGCTTCCCAGGTGGGTAAAAGAGGTTGTTCCTTTCAGGTTCCTTCCATTTATGGTGATTGTTGTCTGTTGTTATTGTTGCTGCGTGTGGTGGTGTTGCCCAGGAATCTTCATCACCTCTGTTTTCCCTATGTTCACCTGAAGTCCTATCTTTGATGCTTTTTCTATCGCCAACTTGTTGCCTTTCGTTTGCATATCTTCCAGTTTATAGGAAATCAGACATATATCATCGGAGAAGTCCAGATCCTCCAAGTTTTTTGTGTGTGTTCAATTTATTCCTGTTTCCTCATTGCCCACTGTTTGTCGCATTATCGAGTCTACTGCAATCAAGAAAATCATTGGTGATAGTAGGCAGCCTTGTCTTACTCCTGTCCTCACTTCGAAGGATTCCTTGAGTTTCCCGTTGTGGGTTACTTGGCATGCAGCATTGTCGTACAGCTGTTGGATGAGATGTATAATTGTCGGTGGCACCCCATAGTAGCGAATTAGTTGCCAAAGCACATCTCGATCGACGCTGTCGAAAGCCTTTTCAAAGTCAATGAAGTTGAGATAGAGAGGTGACTGCTATTCCAGGCTTTGTTCAATGATGATCCGTAATGTGGCGATCTGATCAATGCATGACTTGTTTCTCCTGAATCCAGCCTGTTCCAGTCGAAGTTTTTCATCCAGGGCATGTTTGATTCTCTCCAGGATGATGCGGCTTAGTACTTCGCTTGGGATGGATGTGTGTGTATATTTGCCTAATTTCGATTGAGTTTTGTACTTTGAACTGAGCTGGTTGATTTAATTGTCAAGCGTACGTTGTCCACCGTCTAGACAACATCTTCCTTCAGTGCAAGTTTTAGTATGAAATGAACCTATTTGAGTTCTCTTCATGATTGATGACATATTCAAGTATTGATTTTTACGGATTTGGTTGATTGCTTGATTGGTTACAGGATTTCATAATGATGAGCTGATATCAGTTAGAGAACCATTAGAAAACCTACAGGGAGTACTGGGCAGCCAACTGTTTCGTCAGCCTAGTTTGAGACTTTAGAGCAGTACGCGCCCACCCCATTGAGGTTTGAACCCACCACCTTCTGGTGACAAGGCCAGCTAGCTTGTAGACCATCAAGCAACTGGGAACCGACTCAACTTCTATTTCTCGTTAGAGCATGACCACTAGTCAAAGTCTTCGGTCCCCACATCCGACCTGCTGTACTCCACTCAACGGTCACAACTTCTCAACAGAACCCCAGTAACTACCTACCTGAATAGGGTCAGTTGCTATTGAGCATTTCATTGATATATTCAAGTATTGGTTTTGTGGGAACGAAATAGCTTTCCAGTACTCCCTGCAGGTTTTTCAATAGTTCTCTAACTGATGCCAGCTCAACATGATGATATCCTGTAACCAATGATGATAAAATTGTACCTCCTGAGACCTCCTTTGTCATGAATGGTTGTTAATGTGACAGAAAAGATTTGTAGCTCAGGTGGATGATTTTCATGTGGTTGTTTTCTCCGAGCTGGATAGTTAATTTGCGAAGCTTTCACTGCCCCTAACTAAGCAACATCTTCAGCGAAGACTTCAATTTGGAGTGATCTTTTAGATTTCTCCACGAGTTTATTAATCATCTCTCCCGGTACCCTAGGATGTGATTGGTTGTTTTTGTGTGTTTTCACACCTTCTAGCCTACGAGGCGTATTGGAACTGATTGTTTCTTTGATTTGAACTTTAACCCTTTGTGTGTGAGGTTTCTTTCTTATCGGTTGATAAATTTTGTCTATCTCGATGTGTCTATTGATTGATGATTCACTGGAATGCCAAGCTTCTAAAAGTTCTCTAGCATTCTTGGTGTATCCTCTGTCTAATATTTGAACTGTGGTTTTCCCAGATGAATTGATGTCCATGGTTGTCTATATGCAGTGGGGTAATAGGAGTGATGGAATGGATATCATGTCTTTTGATGGCTAGTTTATGTTCATGGATACGAAGACGAAGAGAACGTCGTCCACTTTGGCTAATGTAGTGTTTTTCGCAGTTGTTGCAATTTATTTTGTATAGATGATGTTGGTTTTATCGTCTTTCCCTGTTGAGTCTTTTGGTTGACATAGAACTGAGTCAAGTGACTTTGTTGGTTTGTGTGCGACGTCAATTCCTAAAGGTGAAAACACACAAAAACAATCAATCACGTCCAAGGTCACCCACTGGGAGGGATGACTAATAAACTCGTGGAGAAATCTAATTGCTCTCTTCAACAAATTGAAGTCTTCGCTGAAGATGTCGCTTAGTAGGGGGCAATGAAAGCTTCGCAGATTAACTATCCAGCTCGGAGAAAACAACCATATGAAAATGGTTGTTAATTTTTAATGAAATCTTCACAGTTAAACTAACCGATTCAGCTCAGATAATACAACTAAATCAAAATCATCTACCTACCTAGCCACAAATATTCTTTAATATTTGTCTAATGCTTAACTAAAGATTCTGAAGCTATTTTTCAACTTCAGACAGCCTAAAATATACACAACATTTTATCAACAGCAATAATAGCTTTATCCTGAACATTATTTAGATGATGTACAGAATTTTTACAGTGGAGTTTATTGTATGATATTTTCTCGTCATCCAAGATCCTCAAATGAAAGATTGACTGACAGTAGGTAGTGTGACACAGTTCTATTTATCTGACCTGAAGCGAAAATAAATCCACTTTGATGATATCGCTTCTTTTTCTCCTTCAAGATATATATATATATACGACATTTTGTTGAATGCCATTTATAGAAAGTCCAGTAGTAAATTTTGGTGAACGAGGGACACGACCACTCAGGAACGGTCATCACATATATTGGGATAAACTGCAATCCATCGAGGATGTTTAGTAGAAACTTGCAAACCAGCTGGTCTTAAATGTTTTAAATACCCGCCAGAGTAAACAATACTATTAGTGGTTATATATTTAGCTAGATATGAACAGTTTGGATAAGATGTATTGATGGAATTTGACAGTAGCCCAAATTTTAAGCAGGCCAGTGATGGTGTTAACAAAATAAGAACATTGTTTTTTTATTCCTTCACGTTCCCAGTGGAACATAGGGTGGCTTCAAACTAGAGAGTTGAAGTTTCGGTAGCAGTGGTTTTTATTTGTCTTTATGGGATGGAGTTGCTAGCCCCATTGACCCTAACCTTCCCTCTTTACTAGCTTTATATGTGGCTTAGCAAGGTAAAGGAGTGCGTCGGTGGCCGGGGATAGAACCCAGGACCATGTGCATGGTCGGCGAGCGTCCTAGCCGCTGTGCCACCGACTCACAGGTTTGTTAATGAGCTGCTCATCGGTTGAAGAACTAGTTGTTTTGTCCTAGTGTTAGACTCTTCTTTGGTAAGTAGTCATCACTGTCGGCACTGAAGACCTTCCGGTTATACGGTGAGCTACCACGTAGACCATTAGGCCACTGTTGTTGGTTCCAAGAACCTATAAATTCTTACTTCTGTGAATTCACGATATGCTATATAGTGTAATCCCCTGGCAGTTTTATCGGCGAATAATTGTTCTTTCACCTAACTTGGTGGAACCCACTGACTCAATACGACTTCTCACTAGTACTGCAGTCAACGTCCTGTACAAGGCGAATCGCTAGGATGGTTGTGATGGTCAGACTCGTAACCAATAGAATTTTAGCGAAACAACACGCGATAATCAGATCTGACACTGAAACAAATCAGTCTTTCTTGTCGCCTAATGGCTGGATGTTATAAGAAACATTCACATGGTTAATTAATAATAATTCAGGTCATTACAAGGCGGCAGGATGAGCTTCTTTCTGGGACTAGCTGAAAGTTAGTTATGGCCAGTGGTGTCCAACATTTGCGGGTGAAGTAGTCGTTCATCTGTAGCACACTGGCTAGCTATAGTGTTATGTCGCAAAAACTAACATGAGCTACATATCATGAGTCCCTCATTTCCAACTCACTCGTTGGATGGATGGCTAACTTAGAGGCCTTATAATCTAGCTCTTATAGTACAGATGTTTCAAAAATGCCTTAGAATGAATGTAGCTTTTATTTTTCATGGTCGATTGTGGCTAAGAGTGGAATTCCGTTGGATGTGCACTTCGTCCTTTTGCAGGACTCATCATCCGGAGTGGAAAAAACATCTACTTTAATAAAAGAGGTATACATTTTCATATCATCTTTATCAAAAGCAATTTGGTATAGAAAAAAAAATTAGTAAACGTAAATCATAATTAATGAAATGTTTTCTTTTGCTTTTTAACAGTATTTGTGTTTATTAGATCACATAAAAGTTCACGTTATCTGAGAAAAATGTTTTTATTTTGACCTAAATTATCTTCTTAGCAATCTACATAATAATTTCACCAATATTCCCT